TGAAGTTTGGAAATGCCCAACCCTAAGCCATTTTAAACTTCACTCCGGAAGAACTGCCATAGTTTTCCTTCCCCTTAACATCCACAGCTGTGCCTATAGAAAGCCTGAGGGTCTTTTGTTCGTGGAATGAGACTCACTTAAAACTCTCCAAGCACATGGAATTAGAATGGGCAAAATTCTTTTTTATGCTGAAAGCAATTTCACCCAAAATTTGGCTTTTAATTAGGAAATAAACCTTTATACATTACCAGAATACTCCTCCCTTTTTTTTTTTTGTGCTTCTCAGTATGTTGTATTGATTATTTTTAGTCAGAACTTATAGTGATAAAAGAGGGTTACGATTATTAAAGTGCTAAAAATAAAAGCATACTGTGAAAACTAAAGGGGCCCATTTTGGTTACTGCCAAGTGGGAGCGTTTTAAAATTCTCATTCACAAGCTCACTTTCCTGCCTTTCAAGCAGTTTTACTGAAAATGTTGCCTTGCGAAACCAGTCCATTGTTGCCACTATAAAGACTCAGGTCATACGGGTGATTCCTTGATATATTAGGACAGAAACCCCACTCTAGCCACTGTCACTCCAGTAATTTCACATATAAGACTCCTGTTGGTCATTAGCAGGGCTTGATCTCAGAAGACAGGTAAGATAGGGTTGAAAGACACCTCTTGGGGTCATCCTGATTTCTGTCTCTGCGTGACAAGTGTGTCATAAAATCAGATCAAATTACATCTAAAAGCTGGTTAGCTCTGCCACCTTCACTACTCTTATTGAAAGGATGTGCTTTAGCTGGAAAATTAGAAATCTTTTCCTAATTCCTTGGTGCATTTGTTTGCAACCACCATCTGCTTTGGTGCAGCCCTGTCCCTCAGTTTAATAAAATGGCGATAACATCACCTTAAGGTTTTTGTTTGTTCTCAAACTGTACCATAAATTTGTCATCACAGACTGAGGACAGAAATTTGTTGTGGGATTCAGACTCCTTGGAAAATCCCAGACCCAGGGCTGGGTTATCTCACTTATTTGGGAAGAGAGTCACTGTGCCTTCATACCAAAGCCAATGGAGAAAGGAAAAGGCAGACCCCTCCAGCAGTTTTTTTCAGTCTACCTAGGATCCTACCGCCCCTCTGGAAATACTTGCCTTTCCATCCCCAAGCAAGGTACCTTGGCAAGGAGCCTGAAAGTGAGCAAGGTGAAGCTGTGAACCATCACTAGCATTCAGCAAAGATGCACTGAAATAGCTGTGAATGACACATTCATCATTAACTTATTAACATCATTGACTTATTACTTTCTTCCTTGTGATTTGACACAAATCCTTTTTTCCTCCCTTGCTTTCCTGTGTTGATCAGCACAAATATCTAGTTAAATTGTGTTACATATTTATGTCTCATTTTTATAGAGTTTTAGAGCTGTTTTTGTGGGTTTTTGTTTGTTTTAGTTTTTCCCCTGTGTCCCAGGATTACAAGTTGCTACAAAAAAAAATTTAAATGGGAGGTTTGCTTATTCCAAGGCTGGTATTCCCTTGTTAGGAGAACAAGTGAGCAGAAACAGTGCCACCCGGGTCCAGCCTCCTCCTGTAACATCACGTCAACTCATATAGAACATGTAGCACATGTCCATCCTACTTGTGAAAGCCTGTGCTGGGAAAAACGTAGATGGTGTTTGCAAAACACGGTGCGTAACATATGATTAGTCCATTCCATGCAGCGCTAAGGGGGCATTCACAGTGTTTAATTTTATTTAACTAAGGCCCCCTGCAGGCAGTGGAAAGTGCTAGCTTCCTCTGGAGGGTGGAAGTGCTAAGCTCCTGCTGTGATTTCCCCCTGCCCCAAGAGGAGCAGAGAGAGATTACTCTTGTTTTAGTAGGATATCTTTCATAAATTTCTTCTCTGTAGCTCTTCTATGTCTAAATGATTAATTTTCTGAGGGCAATCAGCCTTTAAGAGGCATTGAGTAGTGAAGGGTGTCTGGACTAAGATCCTGAGAAACATCAGGTACATGAGCAAGTTCTGAAACTTTGATTAGGTGATTGTCAAAGAGTTCAGCACACTCCCTCCACCCCTTCCAAATTTCCCAAATCCCCCCATCCCTTCCAAATCCCATCACAAAGTAGCTTAATACATGGATGTGCTTTCCTATGTAAAGTTGTATTTTGTAACCCAAAAACATGGTCAGACTTTGCTCTTCTAAAATTAACAGGTGTCCCAGCAGGATATATTCTTAGCTTTGGTTCAATTTTTTACCTAATCTTTTCTTTTTTTCTCCCCATCCTAACATGTGTCGCAGCTTGGCTGTAGGAAAGCTATGGCATGTTGGAGCTTTGAGTGCTCAGGAGCTGAATTTCAGTTGGTGCAAACCGGTGTTGTCCCTCTGACTAGTTCTTATGGACTTCCACAGAATGGATAAACATTTTTTTAGGTAAAACCAATCTGGTTAACTATGCATCATATAGTCATGCTTAACCATGGAAGTAAATACTTGTCAACAACGAGGCAACTAAGAATTTGTCACCTTGGGTGAGTGACAAGTTATTCTGGCTGATGCATCCTGTCTCTGTTAACAACATATTAACTCTTTTGGTTTCTCTGCCTTGTGCCCTGTTGTTTTCATATGCACAGAGGCTCATATACACAGTGCCGGAAATTGGATCGGGGCTTGTAGTTGCCAATTATGCAGCACTGTCCTAACATGAAAACAGAGAAAGCAAGCACTACCCTGTCCTACAGAGCTAATCTAGCCCATAGATCTACCACTTTTCAGCTATTTCTCAATTCTAACCAGGAAACATCAAATATCCCTCTACTGCTACTCCTATAAAATATGTAGAATGACCAATTACTGTTTTGTGGATCAGCCTCAATGTCTGGCTGGAAAGACATCAGGGCCAGCCCTGGAGCTGGGACATCTATTCTTTGTAAACAGAAGTGTGGTACCAATTGTTAGTGATGGCACTTGTGGTGTCACCTATCACCTATGTGGCAGTAGGGTTTTCCTTGTAAACTCACCTAGGACCTCATTATTATTAACTGACAGGTTGAAATCTGTTTGAGGTAGACCCTGGGTAGATCCACTCACATGGCAAAAATGCTGCTCACTGCAGTGTGCTGTTGTGCCATTCAAGTTTCTGTTCATCATTTTTGGTAATGCAACACCATTTTTTTCTACTGGTATTGAAAAGAAAAATCTGACACTTTCCCAGAAATACCTTCAGCTCAATACAATACTGGAAGTAAACTCTTCAAGGCTGTCACACTGATGTGTGTGTGTGTGTGGATGCAGCTCTTC